CCTCCTCCTCCTCCTCCTCCTCCTCTTCTTCTTCTTCTTCTTCTTCTTCTTCTTCTTCTTCTTCTTCTTCTTCTTCTTTTCTTCTTCTTCTTCTTCTTCTTCTTCTTCCGGCTAATGAAACGTCTGCAAGAAAACCACCCAGCTCAGAGAGCACCAAGGACCCCACAGTCCTCCTCTTCCTCCTCGGATTGTCCTGGGCTCACACAATCATCCCCTTTTGTGACCTTCTGACCAGCAAAATCAACGGGGAAGCCAGATTCACTTAACAACCGTGTTCCTAACTTAACAACGGCAGAGAATTCACTCAAGAACCGTGGCAAGAAAGATGGGGCAAAATGGAGCAAAACTCACTTAAACACGGTCTCGCTCAGCAGCCACAAAAAGGACCATGGTGGTCCTAAGTCAAGGACTACCTGTGTTTGCATGCTATGACTCAGGGCATCCTTTGAGTCTCCTTAATTAGCGAGGGCGATTAGGGATCTAATTTAATCCCCTGCCTGCGGGGATCTCTGTTTTGCAAGCTGCGTTGTTTCCGAATATTGTATATTTAAGAGGGCTGCTTGCTATAATTTTCTTCCCTGGAGGCAGCTGGCAGGGAACCAGCTAGCGTTTCTTGCCCTGGAGGGATCGTTGAGAGAGCCAGAAGACAGAATCCCTCACATTTGTTCAGGCAGGGAGAAAAGACGTGGAGGGAAGTTACACCAGGGTTGAGACCTGCCCCTTTGTGTGTCTGCATGTGTGTTTGTTGCCTGTACTCCAAACAAGCAGCTTTACGGTTAACCTCACGTCGTCTCTTTTCCCCCTCTTCAATATCTATTCATTTATTCGTTTATAATATATAATTCAAAAATACAAAAGGAAATAGTAGGAAAATAGGGGAGGGGAAAGGGTTGGGTAAAGGGGAAAAAAGGAAAGCTTTAAAGGGATCTACACTAGTGTTTCCCCTCCTGGATACACACACAAACACACACACACACACACAAATACATACAAACGCACAGCTTCCCCTGCCATCCTTCTCTGCAAGGATGGTGTGTAGAAGTTGCAACACATCTGGAAGTAGATGATTCTCAGTCATCATCCAGGACAGTCATGGTTGTCCCAACGGTGCTTTTTTCCAAAAGGCAACTGGACTTCCTTCTTGTTGCTTTTTCCTTGAAAAAACATTTTGCTTCTCATCCGAGAAGCTGGAGGAATACAATGGCCATGCCCAGCAGTGTGTATGTGTGTGTGTGTTTATTACATGCACGGATATCCTTGCTGGAGACACGCAGTTTCCTGTATGGAAATAATCCACGGTGAGAGACAGTCACGTGCAACTAAATGCTTGGAGTTTTCCAGCTCTAATCTACAAATGCAGCTAACATGCTGAAAACTCTTTTAATTTCACAACATAGAGACAGATTCCCCCCCCCCATGCTCTGTTTAACTCTTTTCTAATGCAAAACTACATCAACAAAAGTCACCTAAAACTTCATTCCCTTGAAGAATCTCTTGTGTGTGGGAGGGTTGAGTATGTTATCCAGAGGGCACTCCAAATTGAAGTTGGTCGCATTATGACAACCATATCTGGCATATTCCATATTCCCTTCCCTTCTAACACTGATGATGTTAGCTAGTTGGGTAATAAAACATCTGCAAGCAAACCACCAAGCTCAGAGAACACCGAAGACCCCACATATTGGCCTTTTTCTGTCGAAGACCAAGTTGGCTAATCTTGGCATTGGGTTTCCTCTGCCTATTTTAATAATAATAATAAAGTTGGAAGGGACCTTGGAGGTCATCTAGTCCAACCCCCTGCTCAGGCAGGAAGCCCTGTACCATTCCAGACAAATGGCTGTCTAGTCTCTTCTTAAAAACTTCCAGTGTTAGAGCATTCACCGCTTCTGGAGGCAGGTTGTTCCACTGGTTAATTGTTCTGACTGTCAGGAAGTTTCTCCTTAGTTCTAGGTTGCTTCTCTCCTTGATTAGTTTCTATCTGTTGCTTCTAGTATTTTTTATGGAAGAAGGCTGGAAAATTACAGGTTGAAAGCCCTGCCCCCTCCACGTTCCACTTTTCCTTCTTGCCCTTTTGCAAGGTAACCACGTTCGCCTTATTTTAAGAAGAGACTTAATTCTTTCCTTAGGAATTTGCAATCTGACCCAACATGTTTAGGAAACGAGATTGCAGTTACCTGCAGCCCACGTTAACCCTCTGCATCTGGAAAGCAGATGGGAGAGACCCATCTCTTCACACAGATGACTCTTCCTAGGTTTTTGGCTGATTCAGAGATCTGTGTTTGGCCCCGAGGCTTGCTTGCGGCCACGTCTTGACTGAGTTCACGGTGCCAAAACTAGTAATTAGCTGCTCTCAGACTTTAGTCGTCTCGGCCTCTCTCAGTTCCTCTTGAGCAGAGCTGCTGCAAGCGTTGAGCCGTCACACCTCTCCCCACTTTTATTTTTCAGCGTTCAAAGCCTTTTCTTTTCTTTTTTGGGGGGTCGGGCTCGGCCTTTTGATCGAGTTCTACAAAGAAAGAAGACTTTTAATTATGGATCAAAGCAGGGGCTTCCTCGGGACCCCCGTGGGAGTCATCGCCTAGCGAATGCTTGAACTGGAAACTTGGTTAAGGGGGAGGTTTCTGCCAGCGAAGAAGTAATTCTGGTGACGTCAACCCGACCAATCTCCTTTTGCTTGTGGCTTTTGTGCAGATGCCTTGCTGGCAGATCTGGAATCCACGACCTCCCATATCTCCAAACGGCCGGTGTTTCTGTCGGAGGAAACCTCGTATTCTTATCCAACTGGAAACCACACTTACCAAGAAGTGTCTCTGCCACCGCCGGTGCCGCCTCCTCCTTCCACCGAGGCCTTGAACGGGACCGTGAGCATCTCTTTAGAGCAATGGCACCCCGTCCTTCCGAGAAACCCCCACCAGCAGGTATCGTATTTACTAAATCTTAACTTTCCATAACGCTCTTCCTCCTGTACTTTGAAAGAAGCGCAGAGAAGACCTCACCTTACAAGGATTCATTTAGTGACTGTTTGAAATCACAACAGCACTGAAAAAAAATGGTCCTCATATTTACAACCGTTGCAGCAGCATCCCCAGGGTCGCGTGTTCAAAATCTGGGGGTTTGGCCACTGGCCTGTCTTTATGACAGCGGCCAGGTCCCTGGGGCGTCCGATAAGAAAAGTCAAATTAGGAAGAACTGGATTCGCTTAACGGCCACCCTATTCCTTTAACAACTTCAGCGGTTTGCTGAACGGTGGCGAGAATGGTTGTAAAACGGGGCGTGATTCGTTTCACAGCTTCCTTGCTTAGCAGCAGAAATGTTGCGCTTAATTAGGGTCATAAGTTGAGGACTACATGCGTGGCAAAATTCCTGGGTCTGAAGTGCATTTGACCAGAAGTTCAAACTTTTTCACACGTATCATGACTGTAAATTTTATAGCTCAGTCGACATAAATTTCCTTCTGGGGAGGCCAGATCAATTTTACCTGAATTTCCTCCTTCAGAAGTTAAAACCGTTCATTACCTGCGCAGTAGTTAAATGTTGTGTAGCTGTACAACAGGAAAAGCAGCTACAATTGGCCAAAGACATATTTACCTTCGTTTTAAAACACGACTTGGTTTGATGCATCCTAGCTGTTAATTGTAGGGGAATACGTCGTTTTTAGTTTTATAATTTTGTTCCTATTCATGTTTTAGGTTGATCGCTCGAGTAACAACTGTACTGACGCAGTTACAGAGGAGTCAAAGTTAGACTTTGTGATTTATTCAGCTAGTAGTTACTATAAGTGCAGGAAGGAGCATCAGATACGTTCACTGCGTTGAGTTATTTATAAAAATAATGATGGTAGGATCAAAAACAAAACTAAAAGCTAAAGCTATATTATTGTTTTTATCTGCCTCGCCTTGGTTGTGTTCTTCTAAATTTTGCTGACAAAATAAACGTTATTGATTATTATTACTGTTTAGCTCAGTGGTTAAAGATGCTGAGCTTGTCAGCTAAAAAGCTGACAGCCCAGGTTTGAGACCTAGCACCGTGCGATGGGGTGAGCTCTCGTTCCTTGCTCCAGCTCCTGCCCATTGAGCAGTTCGAAAGCCTGAAAATGCAAGTAGATAACTAGGTACCACTTCGGTGGGAAGGCAATAGCATTCCGTGGCTCTCGGTGTATAGTCGTGCTGGCCACGTGACCACAGAAGTGTCTTCGGACAACACTGTCTCCCTTGGCTAAGAAACAGAGATGGACACCGGCTCCTAGAGTCGGAAACGACTGGGTTCACTTCACCACCAATGCAAAAAAGGTCATAAAATCGGGTCAGTAGTTGTGCTTTGCAACTGTCACGACGTAATGGACTGGTTCCATTAGAGTCATAACTCAAGGACCAGAGCCAAGGTAAAAACAAATCCGTCAGTAATAAGTTAGAGACATCCTTTTGCCGCTTCCAAATAGAATGTAAGCCTAATTTAATTCCTGCTCTCTATAAAACCACTCTCTTCACGAGTCCCTTGAAGAGCATCTCTTCTTACAACATCATCGCACTAATGTTGTTAACTCAGTGGCTCCTTCGTGGCCGTTTTGCATAAAAGAGCTTAATTATTGCTCGCAGAGGAGATGCTGACTCATATTACTGATTTCAGCGGCTCGGCTTCTCCTTCACCACAGCCAGACTTAGGACCTAGAATACAGGCAGTCCTCAACTTATGCCCACCATTGAGCCCCGGATCTCTTGTCGTTAAGCGAGACATTTGTCGTGAGCTTTGCCCCATTTTACGACCTTTCTCACCAGTTCTCAGCTACACGGTTGTGAAGTGAAGCGGGCTTCCCCGTTGACGTTGCCTGTCAGAAGGTTGAAAAAGGGGATCACGTGGAGACCCCGGGACCCTACTGCAACCGTCATAAATACGAGTCAGTTGCCAAGCGTCCGAATTTTGATCACGTGACCATGGGGACGCTGCATACGGTCCTAAGTATGAAAACCAGACACCCTTTGGTGATTCCCTGGCAGCTGGAAGCGGCGTTAAAGATTTGCTGCTTCCTTGACTTCATCGGAAGAAACCTGCTTTTGGCTGTAGCTTTGTGAAGTGGAGTTGTGCTGTGTTGTGTTAGCCGTGAGGAGCTCATTGTGCCTGATATCCGGTGGGGATTTAAATGCTGACTCCTCTTTTCACAGAGAGCATTTCCTGATCCAGCACAGGACTGTTCCTATTTTATCGCTGGCCATTTAAAAGTTTTTTCTTTTTTGTGTTTTAATTTTTAATTTAATTTATTTTTTTAAATTTAAATTTTAAAAGTTTGGGGCTCAGTTGTGGACGTAGGTGAAGGACCGCCTGTGTAGCTCCCACAGCTGTTTTTTCTAGTGCAGTCGGATCTTCTAGAAGAAATATTGACCGATGGAGCTGGCGATCCTAACTTGGGTTTCAATAAAATGTCCAATTCATTTTTGCAGCCGCCGTCTCAGTCTCCTGTGTATAGTTCCAGTGCCTCTGTGTCCAGAGAGTGCGCCATCTCTCCTTCGCGGGCCAGTGACGAGGAACACGTCTATAGGTATTCTATTTTCCCCACCTTGATTAGAATAACAGAGTTGGAAGGGACCTTGGGGGGGTCATCTAGTCCAGCCCCCTGCTCAAGCAGGAGACCGCCTAGACCATTTCTGGACAAATGGCTGCCCAGTCTCTTCTTAAAAAACCTCCAGCGATGAAGCACCCACAACTTCTGGAGGCAGGCCGTTCCACTGGTTAATTGTCCTCACTGTCAGGAAGTTTCTCCTCCCTTCTAGGTTGAATCTCTCCTTGATCACTTTCCATCCATTGTTCCTTGTATTATCTAGCTAGTTCAGCCCCCGGGTGTCAGACGGGGCTGGGAAATGCCCTTGTGGTCATACCGAAGGGGAGAGGTTGATTCAGGGGCTATGATTGTAACTCACACCAATTGTTTAGATTGGCGTTAGCATGTTCTAGGCATCCAGCCAAGTGTCCTGGGTAAACAAACCACAGCTTATTGCAACATGCAACCAAGCCAGCATAAGGCAGCTTCTTCTATTACCGCTGTGCCTTTGCCAACTTTTCCCACGTGCATCGCTCTTGTGGTTCCTATGTGAAAAACAAACATGTAAAAATAAAGAAAGGGAAGGGACGGGAAGAAGGAAGGAAGGAAGGGAAGGGAGAAATAGAGAGGAATGGAAAATAAAGGGAGAGAGAGAGAGAGGGAGGGGAGGTAAAGAGAGCAAGACAGGAAGGGAGGGAGGGAAGGAGGAAGGAAGGAAAACAAAGACAGAGGAAGGAAAGGAGGGAGGGAAAAGGAGTAATAGGAAGAGTGGAAGGGTGGAAGGAGGGAAGAAGGGAGGAAGGAAAACGAGGGAGAGAGGGAAAACGAATAAGACACAGGAAGGGTGGAGGGAGGGAGGAAGGAGGAAGGAAAAGAAAGAGGAAGGAAAGGAGAGAGGGAAAAGGAGTAAGAGGAAGGGGGACGGAGGAAGGAAGGAAAAGAGAGAGGAAGGAAAGGGAGGGAAAAGGAATAAGACAGGGTGGAAGGAAGGAAGGAAGGAAGGAAGGAAGGAAGGAAGGAAGGAAGGAAGGAAGGAAGGAAGGGAACCTGTTTGATCAGAGCATTGTTGCTTAGGAATCCCTTCAAACTGACCCTGTGTTTATCCCTCCAACTCCAGTTTCCCCAATAAACAGAAGTCTGCGGAACCGTCTCCCACCCTGATGAGCTCCTCCTTAGGCAATAACCTGTCAGAACTGGACCGGCTCCTCTTGGAATTGAACGCTGTCCAACACAACCCCCCACCTGGCAGTCCCACAGGTATGAGGGGGCCGGGCTCTAGGACCGATGGGGGGCTGGGGAGGAAGGGGGGGTGGTGAGAGCAAAGGGGGGAGGAGGAGAGCGGCAGCACAACCGGAACCTGGAATGGCTACACAGGGTAGTCCTCAACCTACGATCACGATGGACTCCAAAATGTGAGAAGTGAGAAATTTAAGTGAGTTTTGCCTCATTTTGCAACCTTTCTGTTGTTAAGTGAGTCACCTGGCTGCCTTCTGGATGGGGAAAGGCGCTTCCAAGTCCTGTCTGTGTTTTTTTACTTGTCAGATGAGACCCCGGGAAGCCCCTCGCAGCCTGGTGGGACCGGCTCTCACTACAGCCTCCTGGAGAACACTACCTCTTTGACCGCACAGCCGATGGCTCCGGCGAAGGAAAAGCCCAAGTGGAACGGAGGGCCCGGGGTGGAAGAAGTGTGCCCCAGCGTGGAGAGCCTTCTGGATGAACTGGAGAGCTCCGTGCCCAGCCCAGTGTGAGTAGCCACCGGACTGCTATCCCTCCGGCTAGGCTGTGGTGGTTTCTGGAGAGAGAGTGCAATTCATGGTGTCTTCCATTAGAACAGTCTTTCTCAACCTTGGCAACTCTAAGATGGGTGGACTTCAAGCCCCAGAATTCCCCTGTCAGCATGCTTTAAGATGGATGAACTTCCACTCCCAGAATTTCCTGGCCACACATTTTAAGATGGGTGGACTTCAAGTCCCAGAGTTCCCAGTCCAGAATGTTTTAAGATGGGTGGACTTCAACGCCCAGAATTTCCTAGCCACAGGCTTTAAGATGAGTGGATTTCAATTCCCAGAGTTCCCGAAGGAGTGGAGAACTACCTGTAATCTAGTTAATGAAGTTAATATAGTTAATGTACAAAAGGAATAAATTACCTTTATTTTTTAATATTTCTTATTATCTTGTGAGGGTCGTATTCCTAGCTGCCTATGGGCTGTGGGTTGGACCTGTCTGCTCTACCTGGAAAGGCGAAGGCCACAGGGGGCTGGGATGGGGGTGGGTGGGGCAGGGGTCTTTCTCTCTGTTCCTGGAAGCCCGTCTCAGATGACCCCTTCTGTCTCCTTTGCCTCCATTAGACCAGCTATTACTGTGAATCAGGGAGAGATGAACAGTCCCCAGAGGTTCATCTCCAGCCAGCAACAGACCCGCATCTCTGCCTCTTCAGCAACCAGAGAACTGGATGAGCTCATGGCTTCCCTTTCAGACTTCAAGGTGCCCTCTTGTTATCATTTGTCCCCCTTCCTTTTCTGGCCTAGGGATGATTGTCTTGGCACATCTTCAACCTTAACCCCTTGTTCACAAATTGGCGTCAACCGAGATGTCTTGGGTTATGTGGGGCCCCTGGTACTCTCGGAGTTTGGCTGGTTTTCTTGCAGACGTTTCATTGCCCAACTAGGTAACATCATCAGTGCTAGAAGGGAGTGGAGTTTGTGGGAAGGAGGAGGAGGAGGAGGAGGAGGAGGAGGAGGAGGAGGAGGAGGAGGAGGACAATGACTGTGGGGTCCTTGGTGCTCTCTGAGTTTGGTGGTTTTCTTGCAGATGTTTCATTACCCAACTGGGTAACATCATCAGTGCTAGAAGGGAGTGGGGTTTGTGGGGTGGTGCTGCTGGTGATGGTGGTGGTGGAGGAGGAAGAGGAGGAGGAGAAGAAGGAGGACTGAGGAATCGTTGGTGCTCTCTGAACTTGGCTGTTTTCTTGCGGACATTTCATGACCCAACTAGGTAACATCATCAATACCAGTAGGGAGCACCATCTTTGGCTGCTGAATTGAGCCAAATTCTATGTGAACTTACACTCTGCATTTGCAACTCTTCTCCTTTGCAAGCTCATGCCTTGGTCCCTTGGGACCGGTTCCGTGCAGAGAGGTTTTTCCACAGGGTGCATGGTTGTGTGTGCTGCCTGCATCCCATGGATGGGGCTTTGCTTGTTTGTGTGGACCAGTTGCTGGCATGTCGCGGCCTGGTGCCGGTCCACGGACCGGGGGTTGGGGACCCCTGAGTTAGAGGTCTATTTTGGCATCATCTGATCCAGGGATCTCCAAATTTTGGCAACTTTAAGACTTGTGGACTTCAACTCTCAGAATTCCCCAGCCAAGCTGAGGGATTCTGGAAGTTGAAGTCCACAAGTCCTAAATGCCAACCTTGGAGACCTGTGATCTTTAGTCCATAAGGAGAAGACAACCTGTTTTGTGATTAGGCTGCTACCAGGAATTATTAGATTTTTTATGACCTTTTTCCCTGGATCTCCTTTGCCTTTAATTAACTTGAGTGGGTTTAATGTGGGGCCCTCTTTATTTTTCTGCCGCTTTCTGCTTTTTTTCCTTCTTCCTTCAATCCTGTTTCCATCTTTTCTCCCGTCTTCCTTTCTCTCTCTTTCTCTCTCTCTCTCCCCCTTCCTTCTTCCCGCCTTCCTTTCTCTTTCAGACCAGTTCCACCATATCTCTAGCCTCTGAGCCTTCCCTGCAGCCCTCTACTGGACCACCTGGCCCAGCTCCATCCCACACGGTCCCTCCGCTGGCCTCCAAGCCACACAGGGCCAAACACGATGGGTGTGACCTGGGCTCTGAGGTCCCTCTTGAGTTGAAGGTCCTTCACATTGATGAGAAAAGCAGCAGTGTAGCGGTGGCTGCGATTCCAGAACCTTCTTCCACCACGTTGCATCGTCACCCTGCCAGAGCTTGGACGAAACCCCCCCTTGGTAAAGCGTCTGCCCCTCTCCCAAGTTCAGATGGGCCCAGCAAAACCACCCTTGAGAAGACACGCGTCTCTTCTTCAGAGCCCGAGTCATTATTTATTTGTGCGGATGGCGCAGGAACACTGAGTCAAAAACCCAGGAAACCAGAAGGACTTTGGAAGGAGAACCTCAACCGTGAAGTCAAGGATGACCTTCCTTCGGTTTCGAGCAGGTTTTTGAAGATGTCAGCTCCCCAAGAACATGAAGAGAGGGCTCCCTTTCATCGCAAAGCTCCTTTTCTCAAGGAGAATGGAATGAGGACAATCGGTTACACCAGGCAGAGTCATTCAGAAACATCTCTGTTGGCCCCAAGGACGTCTGTCAAGAAGGACCAGGTTGGGCCACCCGACCTTTTTAATGTAGAAAGATGGGAGAGTTTCCCAGGCACCAAAAGTCAGCCAGGCTGGGCTACGCCGCAGCAGGCCTCAAACCAGAGGGCCGAAATTCGAGATCCAGTGAGGGCAAACAGCTGTCCTGATGTTGCCCAGAGGGGATCCAGAAAGAACAGCCTTCCGAATGGGGTTGCGGCTACTCCAAAGGCTGCAGGACATGTCTGGGAAGAGGAACTGGACCGTATCGCTGGTCCTGCGGTCCCTGTGGCGGAGAGGATGTCCACTTCGAGCCAGGCAGGCCTAAGAATGAATGGGGAGAGATGAGTGAGCTGGTGTCTCCATGCTGCTTCTCGTTGGGCTGCGCATGAAACGTGCTTTGGAGTTTGCCCCTGGATTTAGGAAGTCTGCATGCTTCTCCTAGATAGATACAACCAGCCCGTGGTGTAGGACGGTGTTTGGTGTTGCTCTTAATATGTTTTGGGTTTTCGCTGGGCTCTCTGCTGAGCAGAGAAAGAGAGAATGCTCCCTTGGGATGCTCTTGTTGGAGAGAAATGGAGCCACCTTAAATGACAAGGATAGGGCTCACCTCCACGTAGGAATCACCTTCTGTACACCAGGATTTCTCAACCACTTTTAAGAGATAGGGACTTCAGAGGCTTCAATTCTCCACCCATGCGTCTTAAAAGTTGCGTAGGTTGAGAAACACAGTTGTGGATTGTGGCAGAAAGACGTCGCCTGCCTAAGATCAAACCACGGGAAATGTCTGTTCCTTAGGCCTATGGCTGTAAACCAGGAGTGTCCAACTTCTCCATTGATTTTGGTGGTTTTAAGGGTCTTTCTAAACCCCTCACCAAGTCTCGGCTGCTCCATTTGGCCAAAGGAGCTGAATTTTCATGTTTAATAAAGGAGAATATTTGTAGCTCAGGGTTGACATGAGGGGTCCCTGGTGCTCTCTGAGCTTGCTTGTTTTCTTGCAGACGTTTCATTATCCAGCTAGGTAACATTGTCAGTGCTAGAAGGGGATGGGATTTGCAGAAAGGAGGAGGAGGATTATTGGGGTCCCTGGTGCTCTCTGAGCTTGCTTGTTTTCTTGCAGATATTTCATTGTCCAACTAGGTAACAACATCAATGCTAGTGAGAAGTGTAGTTTACTCTCAGTTTACGTTCTAGTGGCTTGACTGTCAGTGTTGGTGGCGGTGGTCTTCACCACAGCCAAAGAATCTCTAAGAACACTGACAGGCAAGCCAGCAGAATATAAACGGAGAGCAAACCCAACTCTTTACTAGCACTGATGTTGCTACCTACTTGGGTAATGAAATGTCTGCACGAAAACAAGCTCAGAGGGTACCCAGGACCCCTCACCTTCACGTTTGGATGAGGTGGCTGCAGTTGGAGAGCTTTCCTAACAATGGATTGGCTGCTGATGGCCGTGCCAAAAAGACTGTCCTCCCGTTGAGGAAGGAGGTCATTCCTGCTTTCCCGGCTTGTGACCACTAACCCCGGCGAACGCAAAGACCTCGCACCCTGTGCCTTCCAGTTCAAGGGGAAGCTTGCTCAACCCGAACGTTTTCCTCCCCTTAAGATCCAATCGGTGATCAGGAAAACCAGAGAGATCTCCAACGTGCACCCCATGTGCCGCGATCTCTCGCCGAGACGCAAGCTGGGCCCGGTCATCTTCCATAAAAGCGTCTCCCAAGACCGCCTGATCGAGGAACTTCAAGACAGGTTGGGCATCAGCAAAGTCGAAGAGGAAGATTGGCAACGAAGGCCCGACGACTGGTTGACCGAGGGGGTCGTCATCACCTCCAGGCCTCAAAAGAAAAAGAAGGATGGTAGTCAACAAATTGAAAAGGTAGCCGAGGAGCTCTGAAGGAGTCTTCCAGTTGATAGGAGGAACATAGTTGTGGAGTGTTGGTTGCAGAGTATCTCTTGGTAAGTCCAGAGAGAGCATTTCCATGGCTGGTGGCAGATGGATCTCCTCTCTTCTTGGTTAGGCCTACAGCAGATGACACCAAGATCATTTCTTAATTTTCACCCTTCGTGTTTTGCCCATTAAGAGTCTTGCCGGCCGATTTGAACATTAGGAATGGGCAGAGAGCAGAGGTCCTTCTCTTGAGGGCCAAGATAGAGCAGAGAGGAACGTTGTGAGGCAGCTTCTGAATTGAGAGAAAAGCAGATGCTTCCTTGATTGCAGGTCAAAAAAAAAAAGGCATCCCTCCCTTGTAAATTGTGGGCCTATTCTCTGAAGTATATTTGGAGAATATACCTATTCTCCAAAGCACCAGAAGGCAGGACAAGAAGCAACGGATGGAAACTCAGCAAGGAGAGAACCAACCTAGAACTAAGGAGGAATTTCCTGACAGTGAGAACAATTAACCGGTGGAACAGCTTGCCTCCAGAAGTTGTGGGTGCTCCACCACTGGAGGTTTTTAAAGAAGAGATTGGTCTGAAATGGTTTAGGATTTCCTGCTTGAGAGGGGGTCAGACTAGAAGACTTCCAAGGTCCCTTCCAATTCTTATTATTTTTTATGGGCCTTAATATCCTGCTGGAGTCCAGAAAAGCAGATTCAAGATAAGCTTGTTTTGCTGGTTGATTACTAGGAAGTAAGAGAGATGGGGAATATTCATTCTGCTCTCAAACTGCTAATTCCCATCAGTTGAAGTTCACCACACGGTGGCTTAGTTAGTTGGCTCAAAATCCGTACTCCTCTGGACTGTTTTCATCTCTGATTGGTTTGGGGTTCCCAACAGGGGCCAGTCGTGGGTCAGTTCCTTAGAAATTGGAAGTTGTAGAGGGAGGCCTCCTGGATTTTTCCAAGGAAGACCTTGGATCCCCGTTTTCTTGGATGGAATGCTTAGCATCCTTAGATGGCTTTTGAAGCCCCTTCCATCCAGTTGGAGGCAGAAGGAACTCAACAGATGAAAGCCTACAAAGATGCAGGCTTTCCGTTTCTACTTGGAAATGCTTCTAGTTGTTGTTATTCTGTTTTTGCTGTTGTTGTGTTCCGATGGAAGCTCTATGTTCTTCAGGAAGGTGAGGTAGGGGTACGGTTACGTTTCTCCAACCCTTTGGTTTCCAAAAAGGGTAGACCTCAACTCTCAGACTCCCCCAGCCTACATGTCCATTGGTGAGACTTCTGGAGTTGACCTCCACCCTTTGAGAAGTGCCCGGGTTGGAGAAGGTTGACCTCCATGATCTTCTTCTGGTGCCTCCAAGTCTTTCTGTCTTTGAACTGTTCATGTTTCTTCCTGCCTTTTTTCCCTCAGGTGATCATTCCTGCTATGTCACCCCTTCCTCTGAGGAGAACCGTCTCTGTCCTGCCTTCTCCTCCACCACAGCTTCCAAAAGATGTCTCCCAGGCCGCTTCTGTCAAAGCCACTCTGGGCTCTTCTCTCTCATCTGCTCCTCCTCCTCCTCCACCACCACCTCCCCTGGCCTTGCCCGCATCGCCACATATCCCTCAGCTGCGCTTTGTGCCATCCGCCCACCCGATTCAGCCTCCCATCCCGTGGGAAATGCTGTTGGAAGAAGTTTCCCTCGAGCAGACACCGATTCCCACCCAGCCCAGCGGAGAGGCCCCTTCCTCCAAAACCTTGGTGTCGGTTAGCTGTCAAACAGAGGAGGCTTCCTTCTCCCCACCGCAGCAGGCACGATCTGTCTTTGATGTTCTCCTGCTTCATGAAAGTAAAGTTTTCGCCGATCGTAACTAAGTCTGGGTAAATCCCAGGATTCCCTGACCTGGTGTCCTTCAGATGTATGGGCTTCAGTTCCCAGAAGCCTCTGCAATGGCACCATGGGCTAAGGAACTCTGGGAACTGGAATGGGTACATCCAGAGTGTGTCTTGTTGAGGGAGGTTGTAGGCTGAAATCTGAAGCTCCAGGAGGAGAAAATAGGTTCCATGCATTAGGTGGGGCACAGCCTAGAATCCTGTAACCTGACCAGAATAGTTGGCCCGAGAATTAATGAAAATGTTGCATAATATAGAGAGGATCATTCATTCATTCATATTCATTCATTCATTCATGTCTGTCAGTCAGTCACAATAGCTGCCCATCTCCGTCAACGACTGAGAAAATACGTCTTTAAATTAGGCAGGGAATCCAGAAGTTTCTTAAAACTCCACAGTCCCGTCAGCCTTTTTAAACGGTTACAGCCTGCCCAGCTCATTCTTGAAATTCTGCTTTTCAGGTCCTTCCTATTTCACCTTTGGACCCCGTCCTTGCTACTCGCCCACCTACACCTGAGAAGGCAGGACTTTTGCTTTTCATGCCTGTGTCAGCATGTTGAGTGGGAAAATAGTTCTTTGACAAAAATGTGGACCCTGCATGGAGTTTGCAAGTGGCTGGTAGAAATGGAGTTTGCTGGGTTTTCCTAAGGCTCGCCGGTCTGCTTCGTTGCAAGCTTAAAAAAAATGGTGGTCCGCTTTTTTTAAAATCTAGCATGAATTTTGCAGGTCTGTTGGCATGGCCATCTCAAGGAGGTGGAGAAATTTGGGGCTAGAGAAAGAGAAGGCGATAGACATTCAGCAACCAAGCCTGTAAAGTTGCTAGTCCCCTGTGAGAAGTGAATTATAAATTATTATAAAAGTTAATCTCAGCCTATGAAAGTTACTAGGAGCGGTGATGGCGCAGGGGTTAGAATAGACTACCTGTATTCCAACTCTGTTACAAAAATCGAATTTTTTACAGTAAAGTTTAAAAGGGTTCCTTTCTCTAGCCTCACCCTCGTTCAGAATTGCTGCGTTGTGTTTTGGGGAGTGGACGAGTGGAACCGCTGAGGGGGGTCCTGCTGTGTGGAAGTGGCTCTGAACGTTGTCTGGGCTTGCAAAATGTGTGGGTCCTTTTCTTAGGGAGACCATGGTGACACAGGTTTTGACAACCCCCCCCTTCTGTCTATCCTCAAGTGCGATCCTTTGCGAGCTTCTGCAGTTGCACCAAGGAATCCCTGAGTGGAAATTCAAAAGCGCCTGTTGATGTTCCAACGGTTAGAAGGACACTGCTGTGTTTCGTATCTCACCGTTCTCTGCTTGGCTCTCTCTCTTTAGTTTATGTCCCAGGGGAAAGGAGCTGGCAGCTACCCATCAACTACCCCTCCCAAGCCTGGCAGCCAGTTGGACAGCATGCTTGGAAGCCTCCAGTCTGACCTGCACAAACTTGGGGTAGCAACCGTTGCCAAAGGTGTGTGCGGAGCCTGCAAGAAGCCCATTGCCGGGCAGGTGAGTCTCAATCTCAGCTCTGTCATTTGGGCTTGTGGTGAAGGACTAGAATCCAGGCGTCGGTGAGTTCTAGTCCTGCCTTAGGCATGGGCGACTATGGGCCCATCGCCAGGATACGGTGAGTTTTAGTTCCACTTTAGCCAGGAAAGCCAGCTGGGTGACTTTGGATCGATCACCAGGAGGTTGTGAATTGTAGTCCTGCTTTAGGGCATGAAAGCCAGCTGGGTGACTATGGACCAGTCACCAGGGGATGGAGAGTTCTAGTTCCACCTTAGACATGAAAACCAGCTGGGTGATTTTGGGCCAATCACCAGGAGATGGTGAGTTCTAGTTCCACCTTAGGCCTGAAATCTGTCTGGGTGACTCTTCTTTGTCTTCTCCCACCCTAGGTGGTCACCGCCATGGGGAAGACCTGGCACCCCGAGCACTTCGTTTGCACCCATTGTCAGGAGGAAATTGGCTCCCGGAATTTCTTTGAGCGTGACAGCCAGCCTTACTGCGAGAGGGATTACCACAACCTCTTTTCGCCTCGCTGTTACTACTGCAACGGCCCCATCCTGGATGTAAGTCCCTGATTTTTTTATAATCTTCCTTTTCTATTAACTCAGTTCTTTTCCTAATCTGTCCCCTCTAGAGATCCTAATTTCCCATCATCCCTCAACATGGACCAGGCTGGGTGGTGTCCAGTTAGTCGACTTACAACAATTCGTTTACTGACCATTGGCAGTTACTACGGCCATGAAAAATGTGGCTAATGGCCGTTTTTCACACTTACGGCCGTTGCAGCATCCCCGCGGTCAGGGGATCAAAATTCAGATGCTGGGCAACTGACTCGTATTTACGACGGCCGTCGTGGCCTGGGTTCAAGTGATCCCCTTTTGCGACCTTCTGACAAGCCGAGTGAAACAGGGAAGCCAGATTAAATTTAACAAGCATCTTACTAACTTAAAACAATGGCAGCGATTCACTTAACAACCGTGGCAAGAATGGTCATAAAATGGGACAAAATTCACCTCACATCTGCCTCGCTTTATGCTCAGAAAATTGTGGGCTCCATTGTGTGGTCGTAAATCAAGGATGACCTGTAATTCCCCTCACTGTTCATTGGGCTGGACTAGTGAATTATACCAGTGGAATTCCACCCTCTCTGAATATTGACCGGGTTGGATGGGGAACGATGGGCTGCTTCATGGTTTGTGGTTTCTCCTTCTCCTCAGAAAGTGGTGACGGCCTTGGACAGAACATGGCACCCAGAACACTTCTTCTGCGCACAGTGTGGGGCGTTCTTTGGCCCTGAAGGTAGGGCTCTCCTGTGGATGATAGCCAAAATGTGTGACTTTCCCTCAAGAATTGAAGGGAGGAGGAGGAGGAGGAGGAGGAGGAGGAGGAGGAGAATTGTGGGTCCTTGGTATTTATTTGGTTGTTTTCTTGCAGATATTTCATTACCCAGCTAGGTAACATCATCAGTGCTAGAAGGAAGGGGGGTTTGTGGAGAAGAGGAGGAGGAGGAGGAGGAGGAGGAGGAGGATTGTGGGTTCATTGTGTTCTCTGAGTTTGGTTGTTTTCTTGCAGACGTTTCATTACCCAGCTAGGTAACATCATCAGTGCTAGAAAGGAAAGATGTTTGCTCTCAGTTTATATTGGGCTATTTATATATTATATTTTATACAAATTTATATATTACATTTATATATTATATTATTATAAATATTATAAATATTTAGATTTCTATTTGTATGACATCTCAGTTTATATTGGTCGGGCTGTTTACTGTTCACTTGTTGGCAGCTCTTTCCCTGAGGCGTCGTTTACGTCTTGATGGCTGCTCTGATGTTATTATATTAAACTGTGTATACACCATAGATTGTTCTGCCCTTCAGACGGATTAACCAGGTTTCTGTCCCGTGTGGCTTCTAGGCTTCCATGAGAAGGATGGCAAAGCCTATTGCCGCAAAGATTACTTCGACATGTTCGCTCCCAAATGTGGCGGATGTGCCCGGGCCATCCTGGAAAACTATATCTCGGCCTTGAACACCCTGTGGCACCCCGAGTGTTTCGTTTGCCGGGTAGGAGACCCCACCATTCCTTTCTTTCCCTCGTAACATCTCCAACATTTTTTAAGGAAACAGTTTCTTTGGAGGAAGGAAGGAAGGAAGGAAGGAAGGAAGGAAGGAAGGAAGGAAGGAAGGAAGGAAGGAAGGAAGGAAGGAAGGAGAAAATAGGATGAATGGGAGGGAGGGAGGGAGGGAGGGAAGGAAGGAAGGAAGGAAGGAAGGAAGGAAGGAAGGAAGGAAGGAAGGAAGGAAGGAAGGAAGGAAGGAAAGAAGGAAGAGCTGTGGTGGTGCAGTAGTTAGAATGCAGTATTGCAGGCTGACTCTGCCCACCACCAGTAGTTCGATCCTGACCGGCTCAAGGTTGACTCAGCTTTCCATCCTTCCGAGGTTGGTAAAATGAGGACCCGGATTGTTGGAGGGCAAGAGACTGACTCTATAAACCGCTTAGATAGGGCTGTAAAGCACTGTGAAGCGGTATATAAGTCGAAGTGCCATTGCCATTAACAAATGTCTCGCTTACCAATGCAAACGTTGATCTCAGTTGCGGCTGTAAGTCAAGAACTCCCTCTTATGTATTTTATACGCAGCCCAAGGCAACTCCTATTCGCTCAGTGCGGCAGTTGTGCTTGTAAGCCGAGGACTGATTGTTTTTCCTTGCCTGGCAGGAATGCTTCACCCCGTTCATCAATGGCAGCTTCTTCGAACATGACGGTCAACCCTACTGCGAAGTGCATTACCACGAACGCCGGGGCTCGCTCTGCTCCGGATGCCAAAAGCCCATCACAGGCCGCTGCATCACCGCGATGGCCAAGAAATTTCACCCGGAACACTTCGTGTGTGCCTTCTGCCTCAAGCAACTCAACAAGGGAACCTTCAAAGAGCAGAACGACAAGCCTTACTGTCAGAACTGCTTCCTGAAACTCTTCTCCTAAGGCTCGGCCCGCCCTTTGTGGCATCTCCTGCCAGGAAACCCCTTGCCTTGTTGCGTATCGTCCCGCGTTCAGCAACTCGAGCGGGTTGATGTAGGAGATGAGGAGGAAGAGGGTTCGTGTGTGTGGATGCGAATGAGATGCTCACAGCTGCTCTGGGAAGGGGGGGAAGATCCAGAGCAAGAGGCATAAAGGGCAGGGGTCTTCAAACTTGGCCCGTTTATGACTTGTGGACTTCAACTCCCAGAATTCCTCAGCCAGCATGCTGAGGGGAAAGGGAGAGGTTTCTATGCTGAGCCATGCTGGCTGAGGAATTCTGGGAATTGAAGCCCACAAGTCATCAAAGGGCCAAGTTTGAAGAACCCTGCCTAAGGGAGTAGGGAGGTTGGGTCTTCTCCAACCTATCCTCCGTTGAAGAACAGGGGAACCACACCACCCAGAATTCTGAGCCAGCTTTGCTGAGGGATTTTGGGAGCTCTGGTTTGGAGCCGTTTGGATGCTAAGGTGCCACGGTTTGGAAGAGGTCACGTCCAAAGAGATATTTGAGGAGGAAAAGGGTCTTCATGACATCCGAGAGCCATGAAGGACGTTGGGGCGGGTTTGGTGGACAGCAGCTAGGAGACAAGCAGGGCAAATTTTGGGATGGGGGAAAAGAAGGCAGAAAACTGGAACCTCCAACTTGGCAACGTTAAGCTTTGTGGACTTTTAACTCCCAACATTTTCCAGCGAGCCATGGGGAATTCTGGGAGTTGAACTCCACAATCCTAAAGTTGCCAAGTTTGGAGACCCCCCAATAGAGTGGATGAAACCTCTGAGTGTGATGTTTGGAGGACAACTGACTGTACGAGATTTCTGCAGTCTCCTGGTCTTCGTTTTGATTGTAAGGTGAGGTCTACTAGATTTTGTGGTGGTGGAAGTATAAAACCACAAATTTTGACTTTTTTTTTTTTTTGCCTCTTGATTCTTCTCCAGAACCATCTCTTGTGCCTGTGTGTAAGATTCTCCTCAGAGATGACCTTCTGAGCAATAATAACTTTTTCTATCGACTTAGCAATTTTTATAAACCCTTTGGCCCTTTCCCCCTTCCCGAGTGTTTTGATCGTGAGAAACAGTCTTTTTGCTATTAAGCTGAATGCTGTGTGTTTGGGTGAGGAATGTTGCGGTTTTTTTTACACTGGGTCTTGAATGCATAACAAAAAAAAAAGCTTTTAAATCTCTTATATGGAAATTTTAGTTTTATGAACATTTTTCGACAGATGCTTTTTAAGTATCTGATTTTTTTCCCGGGCAGGACCCTAAGCTGTGTTGGTTCCTGTCTTTATGAGCCTTGATGCTTTCTTAAAACCAACTATTAATTATATATAAATATATATATATATATATAAATCCTTTTTTAAACTGGAGGAGTGGAATCTGTTAGGAGTGTATGTATATTTTCCTTTCCCCCCCCTCTATTTTTGCTTATTAAGTAGTTTTGTAAGGATCAGGATTCAACTGGAACGGATTTTGTAAAAGGAAAACTTGTACAAAGACGAGAGAAAGACGAATCTGTCTGCTTTCTCCTGGATTTTTCAAAGAGCCTTAAGTTAACTTCAAAAGCACACGTGATAAACTATTTGCTTTTAAGTTCCATTGCCTTGTTTCACATGTTGCTCTTGGGGTGTGGCTTGCCACATAAATTTTACCCTTTGGTGGCTAGATTTTTTTCCTTTCTTTTGCCCACTGGCTTGGGGTCCCAGGCTGATGGAGGCAAGCTAGGAGAAGCAAAAACATGGACTGTTTGGAGTCTCCTTCTGGGATCAAACTGGAGATGTCCTCTCCAACCTTTTGTGGAAATTGGTTGCTCCTTGGAGAAAAATGTCCTGCCCAATGCATTTTTGCCTGGACTCTCTGAGCTTTGCTTTTTTTTTTTTTTTAAGGGAGAGGTTTTTCAAAGCCTGAGAAGCAGTGCAGTATTCCGTGGTTAAGATGCTGGGTTTTTCAGCTGGAAAGCTGGCAGCCCAGGTTTGAGACCCAGTATCATGCGACTGGGTGAGCTCCCGTCCTCAGCTCAGCTCTTGAGCACCTAGCAGTTCGAAAGCATGCAAGTGCGAGTAGATAACTAGATACCACTTCGGTGCGAAGGGTAACCAGGCTCCGTGACGTCACGCTGACCAAATGACCGGGGGAATGTCTTCGGACAGCGCTGGGCTCCGTGGCCTTGAAACGGAGACAAGCAGCGCCCCCTAGAGTCTGCAACTACTAGCAGAGTAAAATCCGCAGGGACCCCTTTGCCTTTATTTTTCTCAAAGCCTGAACTTGGAAAGAAGGCTCTTTCAAAATCCCGGCGGTTTGATCTCGCTTTCAACATGAGAAGGCCCATCGAATGATTTGATCGGCTGTCCGCGTTAGGACAAAAATGTGCCTTTTTCTCTCATTTTCTGTGCTTTTTTTTTTTTTAATCCCCATCCTTTGTGGGGGGGGAATGGACTGTCCTCTGCTACCATAGCTTTTGGCATTATAGGCAATTTTTTTAAAAAAAATCCTGTGCTTCACGCTCTTTTTTTTTTTTTTAACATAACTCTTTAAGTGCCTTAAAATGAAGTGGGTCTTGATGAAAACTTCAGCTGTTCTGCTCAGGAGGCGAAGGGGAGGTTTTCCTGTGGAATTATATTTCTCTCTCTCTCTCCCCTCCCCCCTCTCCATTTTCTGTATTCCTTTTGCAATGTGTTGTCCCCCTTCTTAAAAGTCCCTGTGATGATGCTAATAAAGTTTTGGAGACGGACTCGGGTGTCATTTGTGATCACAAGTCAGCCCAATCTGGAAAAGAATCCCTTCCCATTGGAGCAGAAGCTTCAACCAGGATTCCCTTGCCTTTGACCAGAATAACAGGATGGGAAGGGACCTTGGAGGTCTTCTAGTCCAACCCTCTGCTCCAGTAGGAGACCCTATACCGTTTCACTGTCCAGTCTCTCCTTGAAAATTTCCAGTGATGGAGAGAAGGAAAGCCGTTCTACTGATTAATTGTTTTCACTGCCAGGGAATTTTTCCTTACCTCTGGATGTCTATGGAGATTCTCAGTCATCTAGGTCATGGTTGTCCCAAAGGTGCTTTTTCCATTCCCGACCATCCAGTCAGAGCTGAAGAAGCTTCTTGGATGAGAAGCAAAACGTCTTTAAAGAAAAACAAGAAAGTCCAGTTGCCTCCTGAAAAAGCACCTTTGGTCCTTAACTTCTAGGTTCCCTCTCTCTTGAATGACCTTCCATGAAAGGGGTGACACATTACTTCTTGTGTTATGCTTTGGAGAATAGCTTGATCATCTCTCTTGACAGCCCCTCCAATATTGAAAGACTGGTATCGTGTCAGCCCTAGACCTTCTCATTGTTCGACAAGACCAGGGGTAGGCAACCTTGGCTCTTGGATGACTCGTGGACTTCAACTCCCAGAATTCCTGAGCCGGCATGGCTCAGCTTGGAAACCTCTCCCTTCCCCTCAGCATAGCTGGCTCAGGAATTCTGGGAGTTGAAGTCCACGAGTCATCAAAGAGCCAAGGTTGCCTACCCCTGCACTAGACATACCCAGTTTCCGCAACAATTCTTCGTATGTTTTACGCTCCAGTCCCCTCATCATTTTTATTGCTGTTCACTTTAGAGTTTCAACCTCTTTTTTATAGTTTAGTGACCAAAACTGGATGCAGTTTCCCAAGTATGGTTTTACCACTCCAGTATAAAGCGGTACTTCATATGATTTAGGGATTAGTAGAATGCTAGAAGGAATTTACAAGTAAACGACTGGCTGAAAGGAGTTTTAAGTCCACACATCTTAAAGTTGCCAAGTTTTGAAGAACACTGAGGTAGATGTTTATGGAGATTCTCAGTCATCCAGGTCACAGCGGTTTCAAAGGTGTTTTTTTTTTTCCAAAAGGCAACTGGACTTTCTCGTTTTTTCCTTGAAGACATTTCGCTTCTCATCCGAAAAGTTTCTTTAGTTCTGGAGAAGCTTCTGGGATGAGAAGCGTCTTCCTAGAAGAAAAATGTCTAGTTGGCTCTTGAAAAAAGCTCCTTTGGGACTGACCTAGATGACCCCGAGTTGAATCTGCCACCATCTCTAGGTTCACCTGGTGCTTCATCCCAAGGACGTTTTATTTATTATTTATCTGCTCAATTTATTTGCATCCCATCTCGCTGTGGGTCTAGGAGGGCAGCTCCGCTCTTCCAGGTGGAGAAAAAAAACGCCCAGCTTTTCCAAGGAAAATAAAACTTTGAAATAATAAATAATAATATAATAATAACTTTTTCAAGCTGCTCAAGGACGGATGAGCTGTATTTACATCAGCGAACCCTTCCTTTGAGTGACCGTCCCAACCAGCCTATCAGACCCGAGGGGTGGACCTTACCCTGCTCCTCTTTGCTCCGCCTCCTCCTCCACGGCTCGCCCAATCCGTCGCGAAAAAGGCGCGGCCCTGCAGAGGCCGTCCGCTGATTGGTCGCGGCGTCTTGGGTATAAAAGCGGGCGGCGGGACCAGCGCCACTCCCTTTCTTCCACGGAGGCCTCGTGAGGTAGGTTGGCGCTGCAGGCCGCGCGGGCGGCTGGGCGGCATCGCGGCCTACATCGGCCGGCCCTGATTTCCCTTCTTTCTCATCCCCTCTCCAGAGAACGCCGCTTGTCTTTAAACCGCCGCCCCGCCGCGCGATCCTTGGGTCACCGCGATGCCCAGGGAAGACCGAGCCACGTGGAAGTCCAACTACTTCCTCAAGATCATCGTAAGTCGTTGGGGCGGGGACGCTCCTGATCATGTGCAGAGCGCCTGGCTGCGGCGGGGACAGCTAGGTCTTGGAGACCCCTCGCCCTCCATTGTTTCCTAATAACCAGCCAACAGGGGAAAAAACTTAAAGAGATGGGAATATTTGTAGCTCAGGGTTCAAGAAAGAAATCAAGAAATAAAAGGGTATATTAGATAAAATGGTATGTAAAATAAAGAAATACAAAATGACACACAGACGTATATATGGTATATATAAAAATAAAAAATAAAATGGCACATGCACATATATATATGGTATATATAAACAATAAAATGGCACATGCATATATATATATATATGGTTAATGATATCTGTAAAAATATGACTCCCTGGTGTGTGTATGTAGGTGTATTAATTATAAACAATAAAACGGTATAAATAAAAATGCTTGTTTGAAGAACGACAACCAAGGCATCGTTTTGTTCCTTTCTTTAGCAACTCCTGGATGATTATCCAAAATGTTTCATCGTGGGAGCAGACAATGTCGGCTCCAAGCAGATGCAGCAGATCCGGATGTCCCTGCGCGGGAAGGCCGTTGTCCTCATGGGAAAGAACACCATGATGCGTAAGGCCATCCGGGGCCATCTGGAAAACAACCCTGCTCTGGAAAAGTTAGTATCCCAAAGCTCCGGGGGGCTCTCCAGACTTTTAGAGCGGTGTTTCTCAACCTTTTCTTCACCCCCTTTAAATACCGTTTGTGGCCGTGGAACCCCAAGGTTTAAACTACATGGAGTCTTTGCGGCCCCCTTATGATGACATCACACACACACATAGAGTCCATGGATCACAGGTTGAGAACCACCATTTTAGAGAATTCTTCCTTGTGTCAGAGAATAAGAGTTGGTGGTTGACAAGGTCCCATCAGCTCTCAGCTTTCTTTTTCTAAAATGAACACAATGAGCCTGGAAAAAAGTTTAAAAGACAAGATGCCAGGAGATTTGATTCTACTCTGCCCTAGGCATGTAAGCCGGCTGGGTGGCTTTGAACTACCTCACAGGGTTGTGAAGAAAATAAAAGGAGGGAGTATTAGATATGTTTGTGGAATTAAAAAAAAATACCTTCCATTAACTTTCTGCTCACAAAGCAGTTTTGGATGGTGTGCGGTTCGGTCCAGATATAAACTTGATTCGTCTTAGAATTCTGGGTTTCAGTTCTAGGAAACGCCACCAACCCAGACCCTTTCTGTCAGCCTGTATTGCCGGCTTTTGTTGAGTTCATGACATCTTTATTGCAAAACAAGAATTTAGCAACAGACCTGCCTTCCTTTTGACTCTGGTCTGTTAGCCAAACAAGGTTGCCTTGCTGAGCTAGTAAATCAGTCCAAAATTAGCTTTCTCTGTTCCGCAAGTTGCTAGCGCACATTATTCTTTTAAAGGTGCTTGCTGGAACGATGACAAAATAACACTGGCTGTATTTTTTAGGCTGCTGCCTCATATCCGTGGAAATGTGGGCTTTGTGTTCACCAAGGAGGATTTGACAGAAATCAGGGATATGCTGCTTGCCAACAAGGTAAATGGAAACGGAGTACGCAGGGGAATGCTGGGAGTTGTAGTCTATGCATCTTGAAGTTCCCAAGGTTGAGAAATGCTACTTAAGGACATGCCCAAAACATCTGATTTATTGCCAGGGGTCTGAATTTTGATCACGTGACCGTGGGAATGTGTAATGCAACGATCATAAGCTACATTTTCAATACTGTTGTAACTTCAAATGGAGACTATAAACAAATGATTGTATGTCAAGGACTCAAAAATCACTCTGTTAGGACTAGGTGGGGGATCTAAATATCCAAGCTAGCAGCAGTCAAGACCCAGTTACTGGTGGGTTTGGCACTTGCTACTCCAGCTGTCCTGTAACGGGGGACAGATGCTCCATTTTCTTTGGGTGTAAAAATCGGTTAAGCTTTTCTTGGTGTAGCCGAGCTGAGGATGGGTGAATATTTGTGGATTCCTTTTTCTGTCTCTAGGTACCAGCTGCTGCCCGGGCTGGAGCAATTGCTCCCTGTGATGTCATTGTGCCAGCTCAAAACACTGGCCTGGGTCCCGAAAAGACCTCCTTTTTCCAGGCTTTAGGCATCACCACCAAAATCTCCAGAGGCACGATTGAAATCTTGGTAAGTCCCAAATAGAGCCCTGTTGGGTGTACGATGGACTATGAGGAGCCCCCGTTTTGCTAGAAATCGAGAGACAATACAATCTTAAAAGAGAAAAACACTGTATGAAAGTTAAAATTTTAAAAAAGATCCAAGCACGATTGAAACGATATTAAAACTTGATGGAAAGGCGAAGGGAGGACTTTTCAGCCTGCTAACCAGCCCCACAACTGCGTGATTGTCTGAACTGCTAAGAGAGGCTGCAGAACCATAGGACATGCTAAGATGATGTGGCTTGGCGAAATTGTGCCGTCTTTTTCTGATCCTTCCCTCCCTTTCTCCTTTCTTAGAGTGACGTGCAGCTGATCAAAACTGGAGACAAAGTGGGCGCCAGTGAAGCCACTCTGCTGAACATGTTGAACATCTCGCCCTTCTCCTTCGGGCTCATCATCCAGCAAGTGTTTGATAATGGCAGCATTTACAACCCGGAAGTTTTGGATATCACCGAGGAAACGTTGCACAAACGTTTTCTGGAAGTAAGCGAGGCTCCCCGACTTCACGCTGACGTGTGGGACTCTTTGTGAAGGCTGAGAAGAAAGAGGAGTGAGCAGGGTGGTGGAAAGAACTTTAGCGGGAGTTTTAATTGTTGTACATTTTAATATCAAAATATCACATAGAAAAGAATATTAGCAGCTCAGGATTGAACCGTGGGCTCTCTCAGCTTGGTGGTTTTCTTGCAGACGTTTCATTACCAAGCTAGGTAACATCATCAGGGCTATCTCCAGTGATGTTATTACCTAGTTTGGTAATGAAACATCTCCAAGAAAACCACACTAAGCTCAGAGAGCAGAAGCTGCTGAAGGCTATCCTAGGAATGGGATTTGGAACCCGTGTCTCTTGTCCCTTGTAGGGCGTTCGTAACGTAGCCAGCGTTTGCCTGCAGATCGGCTATCCTACTGTTGCTTCTATACCCCACTCCATCATCAATGGGTACAAGCGAGTCCTGGCTGTGGCTGTGGAGACCAACTACTCTTTCCCACTAGCTGAAAAGGTAAGTTGTTCAAGGGCTCTTTGACTTCAATGTTTGGAGTCTTCTTGGTTGGCAGATCTGAGTTTTTAGAACCTCAAATCCCAGAGGCACTTATCCTGGAACAAGATTTACCAGTGTCACAATTTACGACCGACACGGCTCTATGGTGGTCCTGTACTTGCAAGTCTGCTGATGCTAGTTTCCAGTCTACTTAACGATGCCGATTTTTACTCCTTTGGGCTCAGTTGCATATATGCCCCCTTTCAACTTTCTTTGCAAAGTCTGGGAAAGCTGAAATTGCCAGCTCTGGAGGGATGTTTTGACACTGAAACACAACTGATTTTTTTTCCCCCTGCAGGTAAAGGCCTTCCTGGCTGATCCATCGGCTTTTGCCGCAGCTGCCCCAGCAGTGACCGAAGCAGCTGTTCCTGCTTCAGCAGCTCCAGTCAAAGAGGAAGTCAAGGAAGAATCTGAAGAGTCTGATGAAGACATGGGCTTTGGTCTCTTTGACTAACCACCTGTCCTAGGTTGAGTAGAGTGGAATTCAAAAGAAATAAATAAAAGTATACTTCTTTTAAACATCTTTTGGAGGTGTCCAAATTATTGCGCTTCAGTTAGCAGACAACTATTGTATTATTTGTGTCATTCTGGAATAATCATTCTGCTTAATTACATAGGGAGATCAAGTATGTCTCCCAAGTTTGAAAGTTTAAAAATACTTGTCAGAGCCACTGAATTGATCATAAATGAACAAATTACAGTCAATTGGCACTCCTTAAAAAAAAATAAGCTTGTAGATTGAAAGCTACGTTTTTGGTTAGAACCTCAGTGTCCATTGCAGCTTCTATTCACACAGAGTCTTGTTACTCAAAATCATTTCTGACCTAAGTGATCTCATCGAAGGATTCTTAAGGATTCATTCAAGGGTGCTTCACTGGAGGTTTTTAAGAAGAGACTGGACGTCTGAAATAGTATAGGTTCTCCTGCTTGAGCAGGGGTTGGATTAGAAGACCTCCAAGGTCCCTTCCAGCTCTATTCTGATTGAAGAATTGACCTCTTAGCCACACAGATTGTGGAATTGCCCCATCTCTCTTCTATAACTACAGTTAATTTGATGAAATATTGGGACAACTGCTGAAGAGGGTGCAAATGGTCGAAAACTTCTCAATGGGGGCCAAATCCTTCTGTGGTGCCCAGAGTAGATCTTGAACAAGAAGATGAAAGTACTGAAAGAGCAGAAAGGCAATATTTTAAAGTCCGATTTGGAAGACGAGAGATAAATGAAAAAGCGTCCAACAGCATATAAAATACTGTTATTTTGAAGCTGGTGGAGTTAATGGGAAGTGGAAATGGATGTGATGATTAAAACGACAATCCGTTGAAGCTACTTAATAAGGGAAGTAATACAAGTAAAAATAGGGGAAATAATCGCCCTTTTGAGAGTCAAAACGCGAATTTCCATTAGAAATTTCCTCGTGTCTCGGCATCAAAGGCCCCCGCCATGTGCCTTTCGGGACGCCATCAGCCTGCGTCCAGCGCGCCGGAAGTGAAGCTGAACAGTTTCCGGAAGGAGCCGGCGCGATGGCGGCCGACACGCAGGTGGGTGCTGACGAAGGCCCGGGCGGGCTGAGGAGCCTCCGCCGCCCGGTTTGGCTCTGTTCCCCGGGCGAGAAGCCGCGTCTTCTTCGTCGGCCTTGAAGCGGGCGGCTTCCCGGCTCCGCGCCGGCCCGCTTCTAGGAGGCTCCGCCCGGGTCGCTGAGGGGCGGCGGAAGCCCCTCACCACGGTTCCCTGGTTCTCGTCACGGCTCTCGGAAGGATGATGGGTTTTGTAGTCGGGTTTCAGGCTGTGAAATGGTTAGGTGGGAAGCAGAGACCGAAGTATTTCCCTTTCTTTTTAAATCTGTGCCCTTCCTTGTAAACTCTGTCCGTCAAGTAGCCTGTTGGGGCTTTTCTTTTTATATTTATTTTAAAAGGAGGCCTTTCCGGAGTTTATTTCTCGGGTTATACCAGGAGGTTTGCCTTCCTGCCTGACCTAGGTGTGGAATAGCCTAGCCAGAATGTCAAACTCGGCTCCGAAACTTGTGTTGAAATGACAGTTTGTGTATATTGTGATACACAGACAGCCATGCTTAATTGCTGCTAAACATAGGTAGGGCGTGAACCTACGACCACAATTGAGCCCAAAATTTATGTTGTTAAGCAAGACATTTGCCCCTTTATCAATAAAGGAGAATATTTTTTACCTCAGGGTTGAAATGAGGGCTCCTTGGTGCTCTCTGAGCTTGGGGTTGTTTTTTTTTTTGCAGACATTTCATTACACAAACTAGGTAACATCATCGGTGCTAGTAAGGAATGCTGTTTTGTGAAATCTCTTAACATCTGTTTAGGTTTCGGAAACACTGAAGAGATTTGCGGTGAAAGTGACCACCTCCAGTGTGAAGGAACGCAGAGAAATCCTGAGTGAACTTGGGAGATGCATTACTGGGAAAGGTAGACTTATATGATGTCAAAATACAGGCAGTCCTTGACTTACGACCACAATTGAACCCAAAACTTCTGTTGCTAAGCGAGACAGTTATAAAGCAAGTTTTGCCCCATTTTACAACCTTTTCTTGCCACAATTAAGCGAATCACCAAAGTTGTCAATAACACAGCTATTAATCTAGGATTTGAATTGAATTTGGAAAAAAGTGGATGACTCTGGGACACTGCCATTGTAATAAATCCATGTCAGTTGCCAAGCATCCAAATTTTGGCCGTGTCACCGCGGGGTTGCTGCAAAGGTTGTAAGTGTGAAAAACAGTCATAAATCACTCTTCAATGCCATTTTAACTTTGAATGGTCACTAAACAAATGGCTGTAAGTCGAGGACTACCTGTAGCACTGAATAGGAATCCCAAAGATGCTTTTTCAGGAGGCATTTTTGTTTTTTTTTTATTTTCCTTGAAGACATTTCACGTCTCATCCAAGAGGCTTCTTTAGCTCTGACTGGATGGTGGGGAATGGAAGGATTTATATTCCTTGCAGATAGCTGGTCATTTGCCTTCTTTTAGAGAGTTGACCTGTGTCCTCAGCGGTCACCTGAGTGGTGCAAATGGAGCCTTCTTGGAACTGCTGAAAGGACCCTGTTGTAGACAGGAGATAGATGATGTCCTATCCCTTCCCCGCTTGAGAGAGGGCTGTTCAGTTTTGACCTACCGTAGATGGCCTCTTTGACCCTTCTTTCAAGCCAGTGGTCCTCTCGGTCCAAAATGTTTAATCAAATCTCAATAGAAGCTCTGGACTTCAGGGTGGGTGTTTTTATTGCAACGCAGTGTGCAATCTTCTCTGCCTCCTGAACATATTCCCCCTCAAAATCTAATTTCCTTTTGGTTGATGTTTGTGGGGAAAATATAAATTATACATGGAATTAAACATGGTTTTTGATTTTTTAAGTATTGCTTTTCATGGAAGTGCCATGTTGAATTTTGGTTTGATCTTTTGTAGATCTGCCAGAAGGTGCAGTGAAGGGTCTCTGCAAACTTTTCTGCCTTACTCTGCATCGATACAGGTAATTGTGTCAAACTGGATAGTCGGGAGACTTTGCCCTCCAGTTCAGATAACATTTGTTTGATCTGGCGCAGTGCATGGAAACGGATTTGGAGGCCTAATGATAAGACTTCCTCCTTATTGAAAACTGCCTGCTTTTTTTACACCACTCTGCCGACTGAACATAATGTTTTGTGAGATTTTATTTGTGTTTTATCGTATAATATTGTAATATAGGGTGCGTAGCCAATTGTACAAATGAGCAAATAAATATATAGAATCTTATGTAAAATTCTATTTTTTTCTAACCATTTTTTTTAAGTTATGTATGCCTTTAAAAAAATAATTATGAGCTTTGATAATAGTCTCACCAGACTGCCTGGAGAAATTGTTTTGGAAAAGCATGTCTTCTGTCTTTAAAATGCCTGCTGCAAAATTGTTTATAAGGACAGAAGACAAAACAAAGCAGATTCCTGTGAATAAAGAAATAAGTTTTCAGTTCACTGATTAAATTTTAACTGGTGTTCATGTACAATAACATTGCACAACCTATTCCTTCTGGATGCTGTATTCCTGTCCAGCATTCATGTTGTGCATTACTTATGAAAGATTTTTTTTTTATTCAAGTTTATGCAAGTTTGGCTCATATATGAAAGAGATGGAAATACAAAACACAATTCTGTCTACTACTTTTTAAAATGTACCTTGTAATTTCTTCAGTGTTACAAAAGGAAACTCAGACATATTGTACAATTATAAATATAATTATAAAAAATATTAAGAGTAACAGAGTTGGGAAAACTTGATTGAGGACAGAATATTTCCAAAGCAAATTTTTCACCTCATGATCTCTCCCCTTCCTGTCTCTTAATTACCTCGTTTTTGTTAGAGATGCCGCATCACACAGAGCCCTTCAAACAGCTCTTCGGCAGCTTGCTGAATGCCAGCCGGAAGTGACCGCAAAGAATCTTTTGCACTCCCTGCAGTCTTCAGGAATCAGCAGCAAGTCTGGGGGATCCAGGTGAGAGCTGAGTGTTGTGCAAAGACCTCTTTGGGAACAGAACTGAAGAAGCTCCTTGGGTGAGAAGCGAAATGTTTTCAAAGCAAAAACTCAAAAAAGTCCAGTTGCCTTTTGGAAAAGCACCTTTGGAACAAACATGACCTGGATGATGGAGAATCTCCATAGATTCTTTGGGAGTTAGTTTCAGAAACCAGTACAGCCTGCTCCTTTGAAACCATTTTCACCTCTTAACTTTACAGAAGAAATCTCCTACCTTATAGGGCTGATAAAATTAGAGTAGCTATCAAATGTCCTTTGACGTCTCAGATTTTATTTGTCCCCGGCCATCATACAAATGGTTGAGAAAGTTGTATCAAATTGTAGCAGGGGTCAATGAAATGAATTCACATGAATAGGTGGTTTACTAGAAGTGTCCACCTTGGTAAAGCTGTAATCCTTTGGCTTACTCTGTAACATTTTACTAACTTTCCCATCTGCACCAGTGACGGGAAACCCACGATACTGCCCAATCCCTTAGATTAGCAGATTACCCTTTGGGGACCGGGTCCGTGGAGAGATGTTTTTCTGTGGACCGGAGGGGGTGTGGTTTTACGTGCTGCCTGCATCCCACAGATGGGGCTTCGTTTGTTTGTGCGGACCAGTTGCTGGCATGCTTCAGCCCGGTGCCGGTCCATAGACTGGGTGTTAGGTACCCCTGCTTTAGATAATCCCCCGTTTTTCCTTTCTGTCACAGCAAGAGCAGTGGATCTGCAGCTTCGCTGGCTCTTTCATGGACCTGTCTGCTCGTTCGAATTGTCTTCCCGACTCCAGACAAGAGACATGGAGAAACATGGGAGAAGCTGGTATGAAGCCTTGATTCTGCCGTGACCTTTTACCTTAATCTTGGTTGGACTACAGGTAGTCCTTGATTTAGGGCCATAATCAAGCCCCAAATTTCTGTTTCTAAGCAAGACATTTGTTTAGGGGGGTTTGCCCCATTTTGCGATCTTTCCTG